TGCCGTCTCCCACCTACCGGCCATCCATCCATTGGTAACCGGCCATATCCATCTGTATTAATGGGTCGGACCTTTCACCAGTAGCTACAACCACTGATTTTAAATGTTTATATTGTGTTTTTAAACCTTATTGTAACTGTTGAGGTATGATGTGACCTGCCCTTAGCCCGCTCGTGGGATGGGCGGGATACAAATACGAAAAATAAATAAATAAAAACAGAGTTGCCAGACTCCCAGTCCAGCCTGATCTTTGGGGCTACAATCCATCGCCGACCAACTGGCGGACGGGGAAAGCCCCACCCCTGAAGAGGCCCATCACGTGTCGACGCGGTTGGCGTGATGACGTCACACGGAAGTGACGTCATTAAGTCGGGGATGTTTGCGTGTTGACACTCTAGCATTTGGGCCCAAAACTCTGTGGTAACCATAGAGTTTCAGCCAAAACGCTAGAGCGTCGACATGCGATGTCCCGACATGATGTCACTTCCGTGTGATGTCACGCGATGTCCCGACGTGATGTCACTTCTGTGTGATGTCATTGCACTGATGACATCGCACACAACAACATCGCCCTGCCCCCCCCACTCCCGGATGGCTCCATCCCGTCCCCTGCCACCAGACCTGGCAATCCCAATTAAGCAACATTTCCTGTAATGATCAAGTAGGCCCCAAAGCTTGGCATGCTGGAATCTGCCAGGCGCTGCCCACGATGGCCATGCAAAAGCTTCTGACTCTACCCCACCTCCCGATGAAGCAAAAAAAGCTCTTTATCCGATTTCTATCCCCACCTTCTGCACAAAAAAGCCCCCCCGAGGTGGCTCATACAATTAAATCCAATTAATGTGGTTTGTGGGTTTTGATTAGATACAGTTCAGCAAGCAGGCTCTGCCCCCTGGCTGCCCCCTGTCCTTGTCCCCAGTCTGAGAATTTTCGAAATCAATAGGTTGGCGTCCTTCCCTGATTGGGGCTGGGTAGATGAAGGCAAAGAGCTCTCCGTGCTTCTTAAGTGTCTCTCGGCCTTTGAGCGGCTTGATTTTTCGGGAGCTGCAGGATGGCCCAGGCTAGCCTGATCTCATCAGATCTCAGGAATGACGCAGGGCCAGCCCAGGCTAGTACTTGAATGGAAGACCAACCAGGAAGGTCCAGGGTTGTTACGCAGAGGCAGGCCATGGCAAAACCACCGCGGAACGTCTCTTGCACTGGAAACCCTACCGGGTTGCCGTGAGTCGGCTGCCGCTTGACGACACTTTCCACCACCAGCAGCCCATTGGATGATGCTACAGGCTGGCGGCCCAGTTGCTGAAAAGCTCCTGTGGTATAGAGGGTGCCCCCCCCCGGGGGTGTGTGGAATTTGCCCATCTCAGCCAGGAGTCAGAATCCTGGACAGGGCTATGCAGTTGGGATGGTGGGGCTCGCAAGAGCGGGGCAAGCACCACTCTCAGTGGCTCGGGTTGCATCAACTCCCTCCTCCAAGGGCATCTCTTCACTTTCTTCCCTGTAAACATTTATCTATTTATCACATTACATGTATTCATCACCTAATCCCCACAATTGTGGGGCTCTAGGCCAGGGGTGTCGAACTCATTTGTTACGAGGGCCGGATCTGACATAAATGAGACCTTGTTGGGCCGGGCCATGAGTGTCATAAAATGTAATGCCAGGTAGCAGAGATATAAACTTTATAAAGGACACAAACACATAGGGGTTTTTTTTTACTTAGAATAAAAACAAGCTTAAAACATTAGCTCTGTAAGCTGCAAACCTACTTTTGATTTATTGACATTCTCCACAGAAATCTCATGCTCAGAGTTCTGAGTCTAGGACCCAGGTTAAAACATGAAATGGCTGAGCGATTAAAGAGAGTCTGGCGAAGCAAGCTATGATGCTGCAGCAGCAGCAGAACTGGAAGCAGGAGATGGGCAGTTCCACTGCGGGCCTGATGGAAGCCCTCCGGGGGCCTGATCCGGCCCCTGGGCCGCATGTTTGACACCTATGCTCTAGGCACGTACACGTTTTAAAAACACAAAACTGTTACCCAGCATATTGTACGACTATTAAAAGCAAGTGGCGAAAATTGTTTGCAGTTCCCTCCCGTATCTGGTCTGTGAGTGGTTCGGGAGCACAGGGAGGGCATAAATTCCACAAGGGATAGGGGTCCAGGTGGGGTGCTGGCTGTGATGCAAACCATCGCTGTCCTCAACCGAACGCCTGGCAGAACATCTCCACCTTACAGGCCCTGTGGAATTGTATAAGATCCTGCAGGGCCCTGATGTCATTTGGCAGAGAGTTCCACCAGGTCAGGGCGAGGACTGAAAAGGTCAAGGACAGCCGGATAACTCTAGGGCCTGGGACCACCACCAAGTTGTTCTGTGAAGAGCGTAATGCTCGCCCAGGGGTGTAACGGAGGAGACGGTCCCACAGGTATGTCAGTCCCGGACCGCACAAGGCCTTAAAGGTCAAAAACAGAACCTTGAACTTAAGTAGACCCTTGCTGCCCACTCCTTTGGGGAGACTGCTGTGGGAGAGGGCAGATCTAGGGTCGGCAGCCTCCAGGTGGGGACTGGAGATCTCCCGCTTTTACAGCTGGTCTCCAGCTGACAGAGATCAGCTCCCCTGGAGAAAATGGCTGCTTTGGAGGGTGGACTCTATGGCACTGTACCATTGAGGCCCCTCCCCTTCCCAAACCCTGCCCTCTCCTGGCTCCACCCCCAAAGTCTCCAGGTATTTTCCAACCTGGACCTGGCAACCCTAGGCAGATCTCTGGCTTATGGGGATTCCATAGGAAGTTGTGTGCATGACCACACAGAGGGACTGGGTGCTTATTAGGTATACGTCCTGCCTCTCCATACAGACTCTGGTCAGCATAAGAAGATGTGAGGTGGTCAGAACAAGGTAAGGCTACCAGGGCGCCCTCTGTGGCAACCTCCCACTCTCGAGGTCTGTGCTCCTACGGCCATGCTGCGGAGCAGCAGGAGCAAAATGGGGCGGCGAGGAATTGGTGTTGCACAGTCCTGTTACGTTATTATTGGCTTCAGGCCCAGAAGTGACATCACAGCATGACACAACGCTCTGGGAGTAGCCCAGACCGTAGTGCCGTGCTGTGATGTCACTTCCAGGTCTGAAACAGGAAGTGATGTAATGGTGCTGCACCGCTCTGGTGTTTGAAGTCTCCAGCTCCTTGTCCGTCAAGGGAACAAGGCTGAAATAAGGAGAAGGCCTGCATACTCACCTAAAGTTGTCAGCAACCTGGCCCCTTAATAGAAGCTGCACGGGAAGTTCTTTAGCAGGCGACCTTTCCCTCCATGCCACGGAAAGCTTCACCTTGGCCATTTCCGCACACTGAGCCCCTATTAAAAGGGCTCGGCATTTTTTTCCTCCAGGTTGTTGGCAACCCCGATCCCTGCTGTTTTGCTGTTTCTTTGTTGTTTCCAGGCTGTGATTTTGCAACAATCTCCCTTAATCCAGTAATAAACTTAAGAGAGGCAGAGCTGAGAGGGAAGGTGTTAAAACAGCTTTGACTGTAATTTAATGGATTCCCTTGAAGGCACTTTGCCTGCCCGCCTGATTAGGGGTCTTTTGGAAACTGGATTATTGGATTGCTCTGAAGCAATTGCGCTTTGGCCTTTCGGAGTGTTGTTGCGACTGCAGGCCGGGCCAGAAAGGGAAGAAATCCAAGGCCCCTGGAGGGGTCCCTGGTGTTCAGAGGGGTTGGCGGCACTGCGTGGCTGGCTCCGTGCCATCTTGCACAAAACCACCCACATATTTTGAAAGGAAGCCCCGTGGCTGGGGTGGCAGGAAGAGAGAGACAGCACTGAGTGGCTTGTGATCTCCTTGGCAGGCAGCTCCTTCTGCGACCCACCAGTCTTGTGTCAATGAGCAGAGGTCACTGGAGGAAGCGCGTCATGACGGTTCCTAGGCCCTGCCAAATCCCTGCCGGGAACTGTAGCAAAGAGAAGATTGCAACATGGAAACCAAGGTCCCAAAATGCCCAGTCCTGGGTTTCGTCCTTTCGATTTTCTCAGCTGCTTTAGGCGACAGAGGAAACAGTTTTTTCGCACCAGACCGAAAATTCGGCCGAATTTGAGGCTACAAATTCAGCTTTGAAATTTCCCTTGATTTCTTTTTTTGGCTTTAAAAGTAAACCATTGTTATTCAGAAATAACAGTCTACAATTTATAAGGACTAGTAGCAATTTAGAGCTAACAAGGGTTTCGGGATATCGTGACCTGGATAGCCCAGACAAGCCCAATCTCGTCAGATCTCGGAAGCTAAGGAGGGCCGACCCTGGCAAGTATTTGGAAGGGAGACCTCCAAGGAATACCAGGGCTTGGGACGCAGAGGCAGGCTATCGAGCCACTTCTCTGAATGTCCTCCGTGCTCCAGTAGGACTCGCCAGAGGTCTTCACGAATTCCAGGCACGGGCACACACAAATACAAAAAACAAAAACAAAAAGGTTTCAGGATATAAGCTTTTGGAAGTCAAAGCTCCCTCCATCAAATACAGAATGGAAATCTCTGCGATCTCTGAATTTAAGGTAGGTTTGTATTGCATTTAGGGAGTATCGAGCGTTTGATGGAACCTCCCTGATCAAAGGCAGTCTACCCTTACGTGCCAGTTACTTAGGTCAATAAAATGGTAATAGAAGACAAAAACAAGTGTAGCTAACAGACTCACCAATCACAACTTGCCAAAAAGCTGAAGAACATGTAATAGAGAATAATGTATACAAAGTAGCTACAGTGAAAAAGTACAAAATGTAAACAGTAGAGAACTGTTATGTGCTACAATATCTAAACAATGGAGAACTACTAAATAATTTGACGTTGTGTCCGGATGTTTGATAACAGCGTTTCAAGTAAGGCAGAGTGCTCTCCCTTTCTTAATTAGTTATGTATTTTATTATAGAACACCCTGATGAAGGATGGCAGAGCAGAGGAGCGATTGCAGATCGTTTGCAAAGCGTTGTGACTTTCTCCTTTTCTATTTCTCCCCACCCCAGATGACTCCCTCTACGAATCTCCAGAACCCATATTCACCAGCAATAATTCCTGTTGCAGCTTCCAAGTTCCCGATGCCTTCTTCGTGGTGGTGCCCGTATTTTGGACTATTCTGGCCTCCTAGCCTCGGCGCGAGGACGAAAGAGGAACCAGACTTTGGTTTCAGCGACCCATGGGGGGGGAAAGAGAGGGGGGGAGGAAACGAAAGACGCGGGAAGGAGATTTTTTTTGCTGGATCAGGAAAAGGACTGCTCAGCTTGTGAGGGTGGGGGTGGGGGTTCTCGTTACAGTGATCCTTGAACCGCAGCCTCAGCCGAAAACGGGCTTTGAGGTGAAAGGTGCGCAGACAGACGGAGAAGATGGATCTCCTATCCCAGCCCCTGCCTTGCTCGGGAAACAGAAAGTCATGCAATCACAGGCGTGACAAGACCCCCAGTAGATCGAGGCGGGGGAGAAAGACGTTTTTAAAAGCGCAGTCCGGAAGCCGTGCTGGTTCTCTGCTTCCAAGACACTCCACGGACCGTTTTCACTTGTCTGGCGTTCGACGGCGTTTGGATTAATTTTTCCTACCCTGATGGAGTTTTTTGCTTTTTAAGAATTTCTAGACCAAATATAGTCTCTCTCTTTTTTCCAGCTCAATTTCCCCCCCTTTGACCCGTGTTCTGTACGGCTTCAGACTCAGAGACAACATGGCAGTGAGGAGGAGGAGAGGGGAGGGACAGGTGTTTTTCTCCTCCTCCGTGCCTCAGTTTCCCACCACATTCCTAAGGACGGGTCCTTTGAACTTCCTGGTGGAACAAAAGGTCACTGACAAGTTAACCACATTCCTTGATTTGCGAAACGTAAATTGGAGCCTGGGGGCCAACGCAGGTGAACGCAGGTGACGTGCTGGTTACTTCAGAAAGGACCAGAATGCCATTCTGTCAAGCTCAGCCAGCCCGTTTTCCTTTTGGATTCCCTTGCAAACCCGTCATCTGAGTGGTGGACTTTCTGTCCCCTGGACACGCTGATATGCCTTGCACATCCTTTCAGGGTCTCCCGACAGCTCCACATTTCTACGGAAGCCAACTGAAAGCAGGCCCAACTTTTGCTTCCAAGAAACTTTTGACCTTCTTTGATTTAGGGGAGGGAAGAGAAATGTCTGAACAGCATGATGGTTTCTGCAGGTCTAGAATTCAACGTGAGGGATGGGGTGCCTTTAAACTGGTTTTTGCAAGGAGTTTGGGGGTGGGGGAAAGAAACCACCAGAGTATAATTGATATATTGGACGTGGTAAACAACTAATTGAATGGCCTTGTCCCCCCGACACTAGGCATATCACAGATAGAAATTCAGCAGGTGGGGCTTTCCACAGCATGGATATACTGATAGCGGAGAATATTGCCTACCAGTATCCCACCCATCCAGCCGGTGCACGAACCGGTTAGAAATGACAACAGATCGTTGATAGCAGGTATCGGCTAGCAGGCACAAGAAATGTAACGTTGATGTGATAGATCCATGATGGGTATGCTGCGTTGGTGCTAAGCAAGACCTGAAATATCGGACGATATGGACTGGGTGTCAGGTGGACAGATTTTGGGATCAGGTGTTCTCTTCTCCCCCCCCCTTTCCACCCATAAGCTAAATTAAACCACCACCTGGCCTGAATTTCACACCCACTGATGAAATACCCAAAGTTACATTGGCCGCTTGTATCATCTCTCTCAACCACACCTACCAAGATTTTCTCCTGGACTTTCCTCACACGAACCAGATTCAGTTCAAACGTCACGTGGAAGCAAATCACACGAATTCATGGGCCCGTAGGACAGCCAGGCCTCCTCAGCCCTGGCCACAATCTCTTCTAACATTCTTTACTTTCGGCAGCCCATAGGTGCGGCCAGTACGAAGAGTGTCCCGCCTGTTCTGGCGCAAAAACCCATTTGGGGTCTTGGATCTGAACCCTGGAGCCTGTTAACATTTGACCCCCCCCCCTGTTTTTCTTGCCCCACCCCCTTCCTTTAACCCCCTCCCACCATTTCATCCTCCCCTCCCATGCTTACATTACTGAAGCTGTTCTGTGGCAGCTAAAGCGGGGAGCACAGGGCACCGAGAAAGTCAGCAGTCCTAATAAGGTCAGGAGCGCGGGGCAAAGATTGTCCCAAGAAGGGCTCTTTTTGTAGCAGGAACTCCTTTGCCTATTAGGCCACACACCCCTGATGTAGCCAATCCTCTAAGAGCTTACAGTAGCCCCTGTAAGAAGATCTCTGTAAGCTCTTGGAGGATTGGCAACTTTAGGGGTGTGTCGACTAATATGCAAAGGAATTCCTGCTACAAAAAGATGCTACACTCAATGAAATTGCTGAGCAGTCGGGTTAGAACGGATAAAAGGAAGTACTTCTTCACCCAAAGAGTGATTAACACATGGAATTCACTGCCACAGGAAGTGGTGGCGGCTACAAGCATGAACGGCTTCCAAAGGGAATTAGATAAGCATATGGAGCAGAGGTCCATCAGTGGCTATTAGCCACAAGGTATAGATAGGGGCTCTGGAGCAAGTGATGCTCTGTCTTCTTGGTGCTTGGGGGGGGGGTCAACAGTGGGAGGGCTTCTAATGTCCTGGCCCCACTGGTGGATCTCCTGATGCACCTGGTGTTTTTGGCCACTGTGTGACAGAGTGTTGGACTGGATGGGCCTTTGGCCTGATCCAACATTGGCGTCTCTTATGTTCTTAAGAGCCCTGGTCCCAAGTAGTTCGGTGGGTCTGGGAGGGGCGGAGAGGGAGAAACGCTCACATGTGAAGCACTGTGAGCGCATCCCTCCACTCAAGCTGCCAGACCTTTTGAAACCCAAACCTCTCTCCCTTTCTAATCCTGGTAAAAATTTGTGTATCCAAGGACTGAGATTTGAGATGGAGGAAGAGGTGAGAAGAAGGCATACCATTCTGCAGAGGCGGTGTGTGTGGGGGAATAATGGTGCCTAGGAGATGTCGTGTCCAGAACTCTGGGGCAGAACCCTCCTTGACACATTTTGGTCGCTTCTTAGGGTTCAGAATCGTGGTATGCGATGCAGTGTTGCCTCTAAGCTGTGCACGTGAGTGGCCGCTCACGAACACCAGAAGCCCCGCTCTGCAGTAGTATGGAACCGCGCAGGGTCTTGCACTGCCCATTTTAATACTATGACAGTTCTATTCTGCTCAGGAACAATGCTCCCTCTAAGCTGTGGAGTCTTGTGAGCAAAAATTCTACTTTGTGAGCCACTGGCATTAAAGTTGTGACCCGGCGATTTGGCTACTGCATAAATTAGTTTGCTCTGGAATCATCCTTCCTGAGCTAAGACAAAAAGATGTGAGCTGGAAGCTAAAAACCTGTGAGCTAGCTCACACTAACTCAGCTTAAAAGGAACACTGCTCAGGATGTGAACTGCTCCACTCAGTGGGGGGGGGATATTTAGAGGGATCATCGATGCAACATCAGCCCCTGTAATTGGTAGGCAGCACAGAGCCTCTGGATTGGCCGGACCATTGTGAATAGTAGGAATGTGGAGTTAGGCTGTTACATGATTGGCAGAGCCGGTCCTTCTAAACAATTCATTCTGCTGTGTCCAGCTTTCCCACCCCTTCCCATCCACCCGCTGCACCCCATTCAGTGTGGATCTACCCAGTACGTTGGTGGAAATCTGTGCCAGGTCTCCATGCTTTAGTAGCTCTGGGGCTAATTTGTGCAAATCGTTCGATTTAACGGGTTGAGCCTTTAGAACGACACATTGGAACAAAAGCAGTTCAAATTTGGTTTGGTGTTTTTTTGTTTTTTGGGGAGGCGGGGTTGTCAGTGTCCCCAGACATGAGCGATGCCGGTTTATGTGGAAGGAGCAGGGCTCAAGTAATATGGAGAAGATCTACTGCACCCCTTTGCCTTAAAATGCACAACTGTTTTTTAAAAGTATCCTTTAAAAGTTTTTTCAAGGGCAAAAAACCAAAATCTGATTGCATTTGGAATTTGCGTGCAATTCTAGTTCTCGGCCAGGTTTACTACTCTCACAAGACAAAGCAGAGGAGAGCCCCACAATGGCAGTATGAGCCCTCTTCACAAGTTAACCTTGAACACTCGTACATACTTCTGTTGATAAGAAAGAGCCAAAATGTGTTTGCCGCACAAAGGAAACCGGGGACCAACACCTGCATAAATGCCTGGGGTTTGAATCACACACTGAGCTGGATATGCGTTGAATGTAACATGATAATTATTCCTCTGTACACAGATTGTACATGTGTAACTTGTGTACGGGGCTGTTGTGTTGGAGGAAATGGAGAATGCATTCTCCACTCCGTGGCTGCCGATGGGGCATTGGGCCAGGTCAGTTCATGCTTCCCCGTGACCCCCCCCCGCCCCTCCACGTATCCCTTCCCCTTCCCCAGTTTTCCTCGCCACTGCAGCAGCACCAGGAACAGATTGACTGGGGATGCCCGCCCAGTGACCAGTGTCCACCCTTCCTGGCACTTCTGGCTACCACATGGGAGGCAGCTGGCGGTACATGTCGGCCAGGAGACCAACTCCCCGTTAGGGTTGGTCGATGGCCCCTGCATGCTGATCAGGGGGGTAAGGCGGATCTGAATAGCCCTGTGTTGACTCTAGAACCGTTTATGTAGGGGGGGTGACTAGCGCAGTGTGCTTTTGCTTGTGTGAATGCCGCTGCGAGAAGACTTGAGGTAGCGGGTTTGTTACGACTGCAGGGGAGAAGGGAAGAGTCTGCCGCTAACGACAAAGTATCGAGTCTTATCCATATTCTCAAATCCCCTGCACCTCAAAAATGGATTTTCTATCAAGGGAACCCACTGTGAATCCTTCTGCCCTTGGGACTGCACTGCTCTCCTATCTTTCTATGGATGTGTTTTTTCAGCTCTTGCAGGGGACACACAAAAACTCTTCTGTCTCGGTCACTGGCTACGATATCTGCGAGCCAAGGACTCCGCTGGACCGCTTGTTATATTTGTGTAGATATTGCCAGCAGGCGTAATTAATACTGTGATTCTGACATTATTCTAATAATAATTATTATTATTTGAATGCATTGATGAGAACGAACGGATGAATCTGATGAATGGGTTGTATTATTTTGAAATTTTAATTTCTCTCCCCCCCCC